TAATGAGTCACGCTAACTTTTGAAACCTGTTTTGATGTGAACCAGTGATGACCTTCTGCATAGACCGCAATAAATGGTTAACAAAAAGAGATCTAGGCTGTAAGGAGGGTGAGGCAAAACTTCCTAAGTCTGTTTTTAGTAACTTTTATACGATGTAGTAACATCAAACCAATTATTGTCATGATGGAAAATTACTCACCGATGCATTTTTCAGCAATAAATCGCTTCAATTTATTGAGTCATAGGTTTTATAAACTCATAAAAGCAGAGAAGAGCGTAAGTACTACTCTTCTGATCCAATCAAATACAAAGCATTCCTTGGAAGCCGTTTATATTGGCTTTGTTCAGAGTTGTTGTAATGAAGGAGTTTTTTATCACCCATAATCAGAGGCAAAATAACTTGTTTGTAGCGTTGAGGAAACAAATGAGAGTATTTTCAAAACATTAAGTTTTCAAAGATTTAAGTTTTATAAACCTGAAAAATTGATAATACCGTATTGTCAACTGATACCATAACATACGGAACATTAATTTGGCGTGATCGGTGGTTAAAACGGCTCTCACTGAGAAAACAACATTTTCATACCAAAGTTTATTAAAATTCTACCGAAATGCCAAATTAGATATATATTATTAAAAATTAAGAAAGAACAACAACATTGCAAACGTTCAAAGCAGAAAATATAACCCAGTGTTTATTTACATTGAGACGCCGTCTGATAAGTAGCATTGTTAACAAATGCATGCTTCAAATACCCACAGAACCACATAAATAAGTAAAATAAATAATTTGTATTAAAGATTAAGAAAAATCGATTGAAAAGTGCACATTTTGATAAATAAATACTTTTACTGCCTAACCTACAAGTATATTTCGGAACATACGGCTGACTCTGCACGTATAATCAGTTGTTAACTGATGTCATGTCAGCAACAACAAGAATAACAGAGTCTGTTATAACATAAACATTTGACACGGGTAGCTTGAGTAGCTCATTTTGGTATTATAAATAGCTTTCTTGTTGACGATGACAACAACAACCCATATTAAGTTTGCAAGGTCTCATGAGCCACAAATCTAACGTTCGGATAAGTTACGGTCTCATCAAAGAGGGTACGGTATAATATGACATTACTAAATTGAACTGAAGCTTAATGTAGCAACAAGTGAGTAAACAAATATGCTCAGCACATTTTACTACAAAGAAAAAACTTATCAGCGATTTAATATTATGTTATTAATACTTATGAGCATGAAAATAGAAGAAAAGTATTATTTAATCATTGCTGCTTCAAATAATAGATCGTGCTGATAATTTATATATTTATTTGTAACTAAATGTATTGTACCTTATACAAAATATGAGTACGTAGACATACGTGTGTACGTATCTGCAAACTTTAATCGCATGTAAATGACTGAACTTAATCGTGCGAAAAGATATCTTTACGCTCTTGTAAATCGCTTTTCACTTCTGTGCTAAACTCTTCCACTTCCAGCATCGCTTTACAGAATCTCGTATTACTGAGTACTCGACATTTCGTTTGCATGCTGTGTGCATATATTAGTATTCGTATGCTATTGCTTTACGTTCACACATTTTATCATTCACTTTTGTTGACAAATGCCTACTCATGTTTCTGTGGTGTTTTCAACGCGTGGGAGCACAAAAGCATGTGAGAGTGTATGAGATATAAATATTGATTTACATATTCAGTTCCTTTCCAATCCTCACTCGAAAACAAGCATTATTTTTTTTCAAGCAGTCGCGAGTAGGGAAAGCATTTTTTTTAACTTTTCTCTAGTTTCACATATTTCGATATTGTGCTAGACATTTCGTTTATTTTTTTGGTTTCAGATTGCTAGGAGATTTGAAATTGTGGGTATAGATAGATAATAATTAGGATTTCCACTGTGAACTAAGGTCTATTRARCCCTCTTCTATATCAAAAAATTTCAGTCGTCACTCAGATCATTTGTACATGGTTGCATACTGAGGGGCGGCTCAGCCTTTCTATACACCGCTCCCCTTATAGCACTTTGATTTCATAAGCCGAGATCGCCTGTAGTGCCGCCCGACTGTCGCTAAGTATAGCAATACCTCGGTTGCGATAGTTGCGTTGGAGATGGATTTTGCATACTGACTTATAGTAAATACTTCTGCTTGAAATATGCTCGGAAGTCGCCCTATTGGTATGAATAGATTGGTATGCAGTTCCGCAATGTCTGTTCCAATGCCTTCCGGAGTTTTTGAGTCATTCGTGTTACACTAGATAGTGCTGCCCCTCAGTATTAGGTTAGGCCTAGAATCCCTCCACTCCGCCTACTTTCGAGAGTAACTTTAAACTTCTATGTGAAGTTTACTATTTTCGTAACGTCGTCTCTTGGAAGAAGGACCTATTGTGTGTTTTCACCCATGTCCTTCATTTTTTGAGACCATATTATCTTTCCTTTGCCAAACCTCTCTGCTCTCTGCTTTATCACTAAACGCTGCCTTGTCTATAGGCCTTACGATCATAGTATAAAATCTGATCATACCTGGCTTGAAAATCCAGGATCTACGGGCTAGGCTCTGGTGTGTTGATAGTGTTGATTCCATATTCCTATTTCAACGTAAGATTGACTGTAAGGAGAGACCTAGGAATATGACATCTTTAGATCCCTCCACCCACCTACCACCAAGCGTTAGGACCCTCTATCCGGGAAGGGATCCACTCTTTGTAAAGGGACGGACGTTGTTTTTGACGGGTTGATATATACCCCTACCGTATAGCACCATTCATTTACTATACTTAAGCCCTTTTGAAATAGGTCGCAGAGATTATTCTCAAATTTACTCTTGCCATTATGAAAATGTCATCGACGTACTCTTGGCATATAATCCAATTATTTGGAAGCCCCATAGTACGGGAGTAGAACTCTACCCTGTGAGCAGCCTCTCGTAGTACCAAAGCACTGTGGGGGAGGACATAGTGGTTTCAGCTATTCCAGTACGCAGAACAGCATCTATCCATCTTTATACTGGAACCCCCACATTCCTTTTCTCCAGTGCCCTGACGACGCATGCGTGGGACGCGTTATTGAAAGCACCTTCGCTGTAAAGAAAGACGAATGTCACAATTGTACGGTAGCGTGCCATGCTTTTGAGACCCTCCACTTTATCAGATGCTAAATTTTGAAATTTTTTGTTTTTTAATTCTTCCCGTATTCTTGTAAAACCAATAAGTAACTAATAAAAATATGGAAATAAAAATATTATTTGTCATCTTTTACGACACTTAAAGATCACCTTAAATTCATACCTCCCACAAACCATAAAAAAAAAATTTTGGATTTAACTAAGGTCGAGAAATATGCTTTTCCTCTTGTAGATTTACCAAAATTTGGAGAGCCATTACAAAATATCACGGTACCAGTGGGGCGAGAAGCGGTACTGCAATGTGTTGTCGATAATCTGCAAACCTATAAGGTAAGTGGTTATAAAAAAGTATTCACTTTAAAATATACGTACAGAGATATGTATGAATCAGTAGTCGCGAAGTGGATGAAAAAATATAATAACAATTTCTTCTACACAAAATAATGGTCAATTATTCAAATAACAAAGCAAAAACCAGTAATTTTTCATTAGTTGAGAATCAGATAGCATATAAAAGAGACAGTGTAAAGAGCAATTGAGCCCAAAATGATTTACGGGCACCACAAAACTACATCTTCGCCAGATTACACACTAAACTGCACAATGTTTGCCACACTCTTCACGGTGGACATTCACGCACATTGAAAAAAAAWAATATTTTCTGATTGTTGAGCGCACTCAACCATTTTATAAGTAAACTGCTATACGTCAATACCACCATATATGTAATCGTGTGTGCACATTTTGTCTCATTGGACATACTTATACCAACACTGTAGGCACCAACTTTTGAACATTTACTTTACAGGACGCGAACCGTTCCCTCTCCCCAATAAGAGCCTATTACACCGACGAAAATTTTCACTGAAGTATAGTCAACTTTTAGGCGTTCTAAAATGTCATATTGGTATACATATATATCTAAGATTTATTGAGTACCGATATATATAAGTACTCTCTACTCGCTATCAAATTTCTGTTTATACTTTGTTCAAATGGAAAAAAAGTGAAATATATATATCGTTGTGTGACATCAATAAAGAATGTTTTGTCGAAGTGACTAAAAGATTATTTGAACATAAATTTATGTATGCACTTTTAAGAAACAACAATGGATTCTACTCTTCTCTACCTTCTTTTTTGCATACATATTGTCAGAGATTAATAAAACATAGCTGCAACAGGAACCATTCATTTCGGAAAGTATATGTTTATGTATATACGTAAATGTTGTTGATATCAACTTCCTAGTCTAATATATAGGCACAGTATTACAATGTTTTCCACACCACGTTTACTTCATTGTAAAAAGTTGTCACTAAAGCACATTTTACATTATTACTTTTCTTACTATGGCAATCTTTACGCCTATGTAGCACACACAAAGTTATCTCAACTTTATAATAACAACAAATCATAATCACTGTTATTACCATTATTACGAATATTTGGTTATGCAAATGTACCTTTTGGCGGCGCAAATGTGATTTCCTAAACACAAGTTGTTAGTTATTTCGTTCGTCTAGTTTCAAAAATTTTTAGCCGCATATTTTTGGGCTATTAAATAAGAGGAATAGCTGAACAAGTGTATATGGAAAGGGTACATTCCTATTTTTTTTTTATTATTTTTATTTTTTTATAGTAGTAGGAATCATCGAAATCTAGCGTGTGGAACTTTAGTCCGCTAAATTTAACCTACTTCCACCTCATTCCTCCCATCGGAACCACAGRACTAAGTATTACTTCATTAGAGAAAATAAGGCGTGCAAGTCACCTCTATTGTACGAACTAACTGACGACTAATCTGTTGTAGATATCTCAATCTTATCATAATTAGAGCTGCCGCTTTGCTGACAGCTTTCCGTTTTATAGTGGACTTACAAATTTTCCACCGTGAGACTACGTCCAAGTGGTGTGTTAAGCCTTTTTCCTATATTTGAAAACCGAGGGCAATGATAGAGTACATGCTTAAAGTCTTCTATATACTCTGTTCAAGTGTGACAATGTGAACTAAAGTCAATACGACATTTGTATGGGTAGCTTCTAAACCACCCATGGTCACTGAGTATTTCGGTCAACAAGCACGACTTCTGTTTTCTCCTCTAGACTCATGACAGCCAAGGCATTTATGCGGCCATTGTTTTTGATTTGGAGGTCATTCAGATGATTGGACATTGGCACTAAATTCAAATCTGTAATCAGTTTGTCTCTATCAGCTCTAGTTTTCATATATAGCTTTTTTATAAACTCCCGTTAAGTTATGACCTGAAAAATACCGTATTGGTCGTAACGTAGTATAATATATGTTTGTCTCTGTTTGATCCCGAAGTAGCAGTTGCTAAGGCAACTAGGTTAGTATGATGACAAAGGAACGTATCTGGGATTTAAACATACGTTTATTATCGGTGTAAGCTTTCCTAATGCTAAATAGCGAATAACTAAATTTTTTTGTACGTATTCATTAACCATGTAGAATTAGTTTTGAGGATATAACATTAAAAAAATTTCGTACCATTATTTTATCTACAACAGCTCCCAGAAGACGTTTTTTCTTAGACGGTGCCCTTTAAACAAACACTAAGCTCTTTTTGACCTAATAATAGTGCACAAATAATACCAAATAATTATACGTATGCAAGTCGATAACAATTTGCTTGGTGTATGTCTATGTTTACATGTGATTCAAATTCAACCGCTGAAAGTAAGCCATCCATCTTAATGAACTTACTTTACGCTTTTATTGCCTTTAACTCCAAAGACAGGCACTCACACTCTACCTTAGCTGATTCATTGAGAGACTCAGAACGGCCACAAGCAATCTGCCGTATGTATACTAAGATTTATAAATACACTTATATTTATATTCATCAATATATGATTGGCATGAATGTAATTACTTATGTATGTATATGACAACTTTACGAAGTACTGGCTAACAAAACGTTCAACTATTAAACTAAAGGAAAACAAAAAATTTTCACATGAATTTTCTTCTTTTTTTCCTTTTCTTTGGTTACCAACCTACACACATGCTTTCACACATTCACATGTGGCCAATGTCACACAATGGAAAATTCATCACAACCACTTGCACGGAAAAATAAAATCGGCACCCGCCGCCCACCTATACGCACCTATACAAATGAAAATACAAATAAACAAAAACAAACTAATGACCGAACGTGCATATGAATGCGTGCGTCTTGCGGTCTATGTACTATTTGCTAGTATGAAAATGAATGGGTTGTGTCGAACGGATTGACATGTCTCGCATCATGCTTTACCCATACGCAAACATGCACCTGACGATCCTGATAAATTTGGTCCATTGCCTAGATTGCGTGGCTGCGCGTCGACACACAAACGATACTGACGATACAAAATCACGTTATAACGAAAAATAACCGAATGAGTATAAACCATGCTGAGAAGCGTGCTTGGATATTGAGAATACGTGACGTCAAGGAAGCGGACAAAGGCTGGTATATGTGCCAGATCAATACGGATCCGATGAAGAGTCAAGTTGGTTACCTGGATGTTGTGGGTGAGTACGACAAACTTAATGGAGTCAAATTATCTACATATTACAGTATTAGGAAGACATAGTCAGAATAGTCAAAAATAGCTATATATGGAATTATCAATATTTATTATTTAAGTTAAATTTAAGCGAGAGGGATATGTACGTTGGGGTGTTTCTTTTAAAASTTTTATTTTTATTTATTCGAGGACACTTGAAACTTTTCTTTTCTATGTTGAAGAAAAAAATCGTTGTAAACTCTTAGTTTTAACTTTAAATACTTATTTTCTGATGTTCATGTCCTTCAAACATTTTGTGTGAACACATTTTGCAGGAATATCTGTTTTTATTGAAAAACTTGCAAATAAAAAATTATATGAAATTAAATTTTAAATTATTAATTCACCATCCTCACAGAATATTTAAATAAACTTCAATTTCACTATATGCACTGTTTACTACGTTAATTTAACATTAAATTATTCTCACACCTTTATGTAACTTTGAAAATTTGCGATTACAAAATTTGTATCTTCACGACATTGATTTAGTTAAGTTAGATTTAGTCGTAGAGTGATATTACTGCAAAACATAGCACTAGATCTCACTTATACTGCGGTAAACAACAGTATTTGCGTTACCCAAAACTGCTAAATTTAATCACTGCCTCCTTGCAGATCGACAAAGTGTTTTGTTACCCACAAATTTATTATGTTGCATGTATATTGAGACCTTTAAGTCTCAGTCAGGAAAAATATGTATAGTAGAAGATAAACTGTCTAAGTGATTCAACGGAACCTTCTWTCAAATATTTAAGCTCACCGCAGGCAGTGTACATTCAGAACACCTGCAATTGCAGTAATATTGACTTTGCTAAGAGCTGGTAGCTAAAAATCKAAATTTTGATCAAAAAACATCTCACAAAAGTTTATGTTGTTGACCACAAACCAATCCATGAACCTCTGGTGTTTTATTCTGAACCAGAAGAAAATCTCGCACAAAATTCACAGACCTAAATAATTCAATATGCCAGCGGAGCACCGACTCGTTCCTAGTCTGATGAGACTAAACTTTCTGGTAAGATTATTAGCTTAGCAGTTTCAAGCGATTCCACTACGATAAGTTACAATAAGAACTTTAACACGAGGAAGCCGGATGCCTTTGCTACTGGTTCGAGTTTCACTAGCATTGAGAGCAATATCATCTTATTTTTCTAAATTTAATAACCAATTGGTATTAACTTAAGTATTTAGATACATCTCTTAGCAATCCAAAAAAATACTCAAAATATAAGGTTCAAGGAAATTTAATTTACATAATAATTACTCTTAGCTTGGATCCAGTTTGTGTAAAATTTTTAACTAACTATTAGTTTATGGAACGGTTATCTCTTTTTATGCGGATTGTTAGGAGATTTTCGATGACATGTAAGTAAACGTTAGCATCAACATAGGTCAAATGATAGCCTCAAAGAACTCTTTGAGAGGCAACATTTTTTTTGTTTTGATGTTTCAGTAATTAATTTTATAGTGTCGTCGTACAAGAGAAGAAGAAGAAGAAGAGCTAAGTTCTTTTTCCTTAATTTTTTCGACATTTTTTTTATGTCAATTAGCGTTTATTCTTTTTAGTAGATTTTTTGGTGGCGATTCTCTCAGAAACGCGCGTGATATTTTGTATACATTCAAAAGTTACGTATACGACACGTATGTCACGTTCAAGTCTTTTAATCTACCGCCATGTTTTTCACATGTTCTACGTATCGAGGGGTTGCACATGAATACACGCTTGCTCAACTAATTTATGTCTTACCTCCTATCGGTTTCGAAATAGTTGAAACCAACAATGTTGCAATTAGTGCTAATAAAAG